TGTTCTTCTTGTCTGCACGCTAAATACAGTCTGGTCCCATGGCTAGATACAAAGTGAAGTACTGCATCCTCCCGTTAGCCCCAGAAAAACAGAGGTTAGGTGTTGAGCTTGTACAGCGAGGTTAGTCAGGGACAAGCCTCTTTGGTTCACCCACCCTGTCCACTTAATATTAACTGACTTGCCAAAGACCAGCTTTGGCTATTAGAGGGCAATAATTCTCCTTCAGCTGCTGAAGTATGGCTTCTTCAAAATTGTACACAGCTTTATTTGGAATTCATACTTGTTACCTTACCAGCCAAAAGTAAACAAAACCCCCCATCTGCATAAGATTTGGCTCAGTGCAGAGGCTGTCCCGAAGCTGTGCTAACATGTTTACTGGAAGAACATTTTCATTTTCACAGCTGTTTCCAAAAACAGCCCTCATGGGTCACAATACTATTCTATTTTTCTCTGTGAAATAAGGGACAAGGATTGATAGAAAAGCGGACAAAGAATGTGAAACTCCATTACAGCACACATCTAAATCTGAAGGACAGCGATGTTACAAAAATGAATTTAATGGCAAGTTTCTGCATGTTTCTGTATATGTGTGTGAGGGACTCGGAGAACCATAGATTTAACACAAAATATAACAATACGAAGTCAGTGAGTGGCTTCCACCTCACCGCCTCATGCTAGTAACACCATATAATATTAGTAAACATTTACATTAGTAAAGTGTTAATTCATCACTTATAAAGGATAAATCCTATATTAATAGACATTAGCATGTAATTCATAAACACAGATAAGAATGTTTCAGTCTTGATCTATAAGTTCACATAGAACATGTTTAATGACACTATTTTACATTTATAAATATGTATTGGTTAAAGTATGCTTAATTGTGTAAATGTGTTAATAGAAGTTTTATAAATACTTAATTTTTTATAATCCATAGTTAATGCAAGCAGTTTTAAGTAGGTTATTTTGTGTCACCTAAAGTGAAATAAGGGAAGTATGCCTTAAAATGCATTTACAAGTGAAACTGAAAGGACAGCAAGTAGTACCTTAAGATTCAAAAGTCTGTTATGTTAGCAGCAGAAAGTAAATGACACAGTTGTACACAGCGCAACAGAAACACGGGGCAAAGGTTGGCACAGAAAACTCAAAAGAGAACAAAACCTAAAAGTTTTATTTCAAATTTCAAGTCCTGTAATGCAGTAAATATAACATCAAGTTCTGTTATCATAATGTGAATAGAAAGGCTAATATAAAATGCAATACAATGTAATTTACCCATTTACATTTTAACTGGATAAAATTTGCTTCATTTAGTCAATTAATGTCTCGCAGCAGACTGCAGACCAGCACCCGCCTCATCTGTAACACGACATGAGAGTCACTGGCATGCATGATGTAAGTTTCTGACTGATCGGATTTTGATGGGTGACAAAGAAAGAAAAAGATTTTCCCAATAACAGTTACTTCGTAACATTTGTTCATTTGTAGTATCTCTTGGGCAAATGGCTGTGACTGCAAGAGGAGCTCCGCTATTTGAAAAAAGCTGAGTGATTTTTCACACATTAATGCAAATTACCATTCAAAGTAATCTTGCAGTAAGTTTACTGCACATGCCACTGTCTGAAAGACAGAACTGTCAACTCACATCTACTGTAATGATTTCAGCTGAGGACAGGATTCTATTTTTCTAACCAGAGACCAACACATCTGCTAGAATCTAAGAAGATATAAGTTAACATCTTTTTTTCTTTAAACACAGATTTTAAAAGTGCAGCAGAGCATAGTGAAATCCAATTACAATGTCAAAGGGGACATCTTTCTTTTGTAAAGATCTTGTGATGCTGAAATTTTTATTTTATCCTGTTTTGTTCACTGCAGATGGAATGAAGTTTATTTAAAAAAAAAACAGTATTTTGTATATCATTTTGGAAAGCATCCTAATTTTAGCTGCAGTGCCTAAAACTTTTTGAGTTTGCAGATATAAAATGGATAATGGGCTCAAATGAAAATCTAACCACTAGGCTCCGGAACTGAATTCTTACAATAATCTCTGGTATTTGTGTTCACAGTGATAGCTGTGTTCTGCTAACTGGCCCTTTTATTTGATTTAGGGAAGGAATGGAGAAAAAAAACTGCTGTATTGGTAAATTTAATGTGGAAATCGAGCTGATGTTTTAAGTACTTTGATGCTGTTGACAACGTATCTTAAAAAATAATAACGCATGTTTACATCACACAAGAGTGGGGTTTTTTCTGTTGTAAAAGAACTTTCTGGCCCATACTCCATCCTTTGTGTGGCTAATGTGTGTGTGGTCTGTGCTCCTGTAGATAGATTATCTGTGAAGCTACAGGGCTGTTTTAACCTTGACTAGGAAGGTCATGGCACTTTGCTGAGTGGTGAAGTCCCTTGAAAGCTCCTTCCCATATGTTGATGTACGACAGGTTTATTTTTAAGTGATGTTTCACTCTGTTGAGACTGCTGGAGCACACAGTAGGGTTGTTGTGTCAAGATGTATTTTTTCCCTCTTCTTGACATATCTGATAAGAAGGCTACACTGGAAACACAGGACTCGGTTGTATGATGCTATTACCATCTATCTTCCAGGGTCTTTTTAACAATGGTGTGTAGTAATGAAGACTTTTGATCCATGTTTTTGTTTATTTGTTGATATCACCTGCTATTTAGTCAATACAGGCCTGATAACTGAATGAAACAAGTAAAGTGAGTGAGGCATGCAAAGCTAAGAATGAATTTCACAAGTAAGGTTTGCATAAGTCTCTTTCCTTGCAGCTCTTAGACTGTTGTTTGATTACACCGTGTTCAAATATTTACATTCTGGCATTTATCGGTGCTGTTCTGTTATTTTCACAACATGTTCACAACGTGTTCTTTTTTTTATCAGTACCATAAAATAAAATGATCTTAAAATGGAGCAATTCAGTTGCTGATGTAATAATTACATGGAAGTTAAATATTCACCGTGGTGGTTATATTTTACGTGGGAGCTGAGTTCTGGGAGGTTACAAAGCTACTCCTTGCTTTAGCAAATACATGCCCACAAAAAAACACACACCCATGGTGAAACTGATGAAACACTTAAAAGTGAATTCTCGTACCCTGTAGATAGTTTCTCTTTACACTATGTTTCTTGTGTGGCTATTTCATACAAACTAAGTAAAGTAATGTTGGTTTCTTGAGCATGGATGTTTATTCTTAACCTTGAGGTCATATGTGTAGCAATGTATACAGCTTGTAACTACATCTCCATGTGTATGCTTTAAAAAGAAACTGCCTCTGTTGTGATAGCAGCTACAGTGAATTACATTGTAATAATACTGTATCTACTTTCAAAAATAGTGGCTGTGAAACGCTGTGAATGGGAATTTATTAAAACCCCAACAGCAAAGCAGCATTATATCATAATAATAGTGAGACGGTATATTTACAGAAGATTATTCTATCCCTGGAATGATGTATCTTTGGCTAGGTTTAATGATGGTGAAGCTAAATGTTGTTTTCACCTTTAATGGGAATAATTGACAGTTGACAGTAAAGTATTGTACTTTGTTGGAAGTTGCTGAAATGGCCTTTTTACTTAATCATGGTTGGAGGCTGAGACGAAGCTCTTGCTGTCAGACATATCTGGTCTTTGCTTATTGTTGTGAACATATAGGGAATATATACGCATTGTAGTGCTATATCTTTGACATCATGGTATGACACTTATATATTATGAATATGTGCCATATCATATTATCACAGACAATATAATGTGGCACAGCCCCAGTTGTCACCTTTCTGCAGGTATTACTTGATCTGGTTTGAGCTGTAAAGGCTACACAGTACATTCTTGTTGGTATTCTAATGGCATTAAAGTATGCTTAAAATCCTAGTTATGAATGTTTCTATGAAACACGTTCTGTTCTAGACTGAATCTTTCATTATCTGTGTCTGTCTTAATATGGCTGCTTGGGGAAATGAAGTGATGTAGGTCATTAATGTGATATTCCACTCAGAATTTTTACAATTATGTAATGTGCAAAGGAATATTTTAAAACTATGGAGTATCTGATTTAACTTTAATTAGCCCTTGTCAATTAAAGCACTTAGTGTCTCTCAGACAAATGAGAAACCCCATAACCAACCAGTCAGACCTCGCCAGCAATGACAAAACATAGTAACAATAGTACTGGTTTATCCTTTAAATAGGTTAAAAAACAACTAATGTTTAAGCAGGGGGAATTTTGCATTAGAGCATGTGAAGTCTAAACTTTTCTCATTGTTTGTCCTTTTAATTAGATGGGACTTGTTACTCTGGTAACCAAAAAAGCTTCTTTTTACTTAATAGTTTTTGATGCAAAGGTGTGGCTTTGCTTCAAAAGTTGAACCACTTTAGCCTTACTGCTTTCTTGGCTAGTTTGTGGAGATAGAAGATTGTCCAGGTAGCCCTTCAGAGAATTTGACACCCTGTAGCTCCTCATCTGATTTTTAGGGGTAAGCTGTAACATGTTAGAGAGCAACATTGTTCCAACCACCATGATTTTTTATTCATGTGCTTCAGTTGTCCTGTTTTTAAAATTTAACTAAGCCAATGATGTTTTGGTCATTGAGTTTTTAAAAATATGGCATCAGAAGATACATTAAAAAAATGCTCCAACATTATTTAACCTAGTAACGCCTAGTTTATCATATGTGATACATGAGTTTTCTTGAATTTCTCAGACTTCTACAGCATCAATGTAATTTTTTTGTAACTAACTAAATTGCACAATACATTTTTAAGCAATTAATTACAAAAAAACCAAAATAACAATATTTACAAAATACAAATAATAATAATAATGCTAGTAATAATAATACTTTGCAGGCAATTATTTCATGGTTCAGGCTTTAAAGGTTTCAGCTTTGGTCATTACATTGGTTTACAGTGCCTATATGTAGCCTACGTTTTGGTTTGGAGAGAAAAATATAGCTTTTTGTGTGTCATTTTTTGCAGGGACACATCTTCGTGTATGTCTTCAGGGAAACACATGTTGCACCGAGGAAATGGAGGACAGATTTGGCCAACAGAGTAAACAAGACTTTGAGAATCTGGTTGATGAAATGAGTCACACACTGAGAAGCACCTTTGTTTCGAGACATAAAAGATTTGATGGTAAGTCCTCTTTGCTTAATGCTTTAATTTAATTATTTTTTTCTTATTTTCTTTTCTTTTAAAATTTGTTTTAATGGTCAGTCACTAGAGAACAAGTGCTGCAAAAAGGAAAACCAAAGGCTTGGGACTGTACGTGTTAATTTGAAAGGGTTTACTCCAGTTCTTTACCTCTCCTCCCTGAAGAGGAGACAAGATGTGAAAATCTCATTAATATGCCTTGTAGTGGAGAAACCTCTTGCTGGATTAGACAAACATGGCTACTTGCGCTGAAGATTGACAACTTCAACAGCAGCACAAAGCCAGCTTCTGCATTATTAAGGTTGTTTGGTGGTCTTGTGCTGTATGTGATCTTGTCCTAGTCCCATTGTGACTTTCTTGACCACTACACGTTTAATAAGTTTTTGTATGGGACGAGATGTGCTCATTACTGAACCAAGCCTCACTCTGCCTCTCTGCTTGTCCCTGTTGGTGTTCTTCTCTATGGGGTCAGCTCCTTCTAGTTACAATTTAATGAGAAATAATAATCCTTTCAACTCTCACAAGACCATGTGGTTAGCAACAGCTTATCACTGTGGACAATGGTGACAGGTAGAAGAGGTGGAGAAGTGTAGTCACCTGTCAACACTGTCATTAAAATAATAATAATTATTATCATTATTATTATTATTATTATTATTATTATTATCAAAATGCTAATATTAGTAAAATAGTTGTTATTATTTAGAAATCCAACATAATGCCTTTCATTACATAGATATCTTTAAAGATTAAAGACTTCTTTTTATCTCCAAAGAATTGATGGGCCAAAAATTTCCATGTATAAAAGTTGATTAAAGAATATCTAAGAATATTAGATTGTAATGGTTATTGGTAGTACTTAAACCTTAGCAAATACAGTATATGCTCACACTATACAAAAACATGTTATTAGGTACACTTTGTCAGTACTGGGCTTGACCTCCGTTTATCTTCAGAACTGCCTACAAGGTGCTGGAAACGATCCTCAGAGTTTTTGGTTCATATTGACATAATAACATCACTCAGTCGCTGCAGATTTGTTGGCTGTGCTTCCAGCATGGGAATCTGTCGAATCTGTGGTTTAAAGGATGCTAAGTTGGTAATTAATGGCCCAAAGTGTACCAAAATGGAATTCAACACACCATTACACCACTGCCATTAGCCTGATCCATTGATACAGGGCAGGATGGATCCAGATTTTCATGTTATTGGCTTCATGTTCTGATCTAGACTCATTGGACAAGGCAGCATTTTCTTTTATTGACCAATTTTAATGAGCTAATGGGTATTAGCTTCATTGTCCTTTACTTAGTTGACAATAGTGTCACCCGGTGTGGTCTTCTGCTGCTATTTGCTTTAAGGTGCTATCTCTGACCCCAGCTGGTGGTGGCAGATGGTGCCCTTCCTTGGGAATGGTTTTGGGTTTAGGGAGTTTCTCCTTCCCACTGTCACTCATCAGCAGTGTTGGTCAAGTTACTTGAAAAAAGTAATCAGTAACTAATTACTGATTACTTCCCCAAAAAAGTAATCCCGTTACTTTACTGATTGCTTATTTTCAAAAGTAATTAATTACTTAGTTACTTTTTAAAAACACGATTTACAACCTGAATAGGTGATAAAGCGATAGATCTTTCAGCCCAATTCTACTTTTTCTGCATAATCCATCATACAAAATGTAATCAAATGGAAAAGTCTCTTTTTTAAACTTGTTTTATCAGTTTTAATCTTTTAACTTTATGCATCAAGTAAAAATTAAACTATATGCAACATTCTCTGACTTGAATAAATTAGTTTAACATTTAAACCTATTTTCTACACATTCCAGCACATAAAATAAAATATTTTTTGTGTTTACACTCAGTCTTTCAAATAGATGCAAGTAAAACACAGCAGAAAATAAATAAAGTCAAAGACTCAGCGGTCCTGTTGCTCTATTTTCACCTGTAAAGCAGGAGTGAGGTAGGCGGAGGTTTACCCTGGTGCAGGTGTGCCGCAGTCAATGGAAGAATCCGCGAGTTTCTCTGTGAATTTCCCATTACGTCATAGCGCACTCGGTGCTTGCTCGGAAGTTTAGGGGTTTTTTCGCTGTAAAAATAAGTTTTCTTCCCACGCACAACGGACACTAATGTTTTTGTCACTTTTTATGGAATCAAACTCAAAGTAAGGTCAGTACTTCCACACTTTAAACGCTGCATGCTCATACTCTCTCCCGCACTCGATATATGATCCATTGTTGATCTGCACACAGCTGTTGTCACTAACGGCGCACTCCTTACATCACTGTCATGAGACATTCTTGCAAAAAATCACATCACGGTTTTAGTAACGCAGTAACGCAGCGTTCCTACGGGAAAGTAACGGTAATCTAATTACCGTTTTTGCAATAGTAATCTCTTACTTTACTCGTTACTTGAAAAAAGTAATCAGATTGTAACGCGAAGTAACGCGTTACAAGTAACGCGTTACTGCCCATCTCTGCTCATCAGTGCTCAAAGGGGGTCATTGATTGTTGGGGTTTTCTCTGTTTTCTTTGTATTATTGTAGGGTCTTTATCTTGAGATATAACTTGATTTGGCACTATTCATAAATAGCACTGTTGAGAAATTGAATTGAATTGATTCACCTTTCCACCTCATTCTGATGCTTATTTGAAATTCAGCAGTCTTGATCATGTCTACATCCCCAAATAGGAGTGGGCAACATAGCCTTAAAATGATTTCAAGATATTTAAATAAATAATGATATTTATGATGATACGCAGACAATAAATACTAAAAAATATGTGACTGATGCCTGCAGGCATTACCTTTTTATCCTTCTTTTCCTGCGAGTACAGAAGCGTGCAGAACATTGTAACATAATACAACAAAAAAATCTAACCACCACAGTATTTTCCATCCATAGTTAACTCTTCTCATCATGTGGAGTGTAACCACTTAGTGCTCCAGTGATACTCCATTGAATCATTTGTTTCACACCACTGTATCTAAAACACCAGATGATTCTTGTTGCAGTTAAGGATGTTAATATATTGTGTCTGTTACTGTGATGAATAATTAAAGCTGCTTGCAGCCACGTCTGGCAACCTTGACTAAAATAAAGGAAGTGTCTTTGGTAGTAGTACAAGCAAACTTCCCCATAGGGGTGAAAACTGCATAAAAAGAGGCTTAAAGTAAATGCAGAAACTAAAAGGTGCAAAATAATAATATAAAAATAACAAAAAATAAATATATACAAATAAAATTTTTTGCCATTAAAGGCATAACAAATTAAGGCTTAAGCAATCTTTAGTAAAAGCCCATTCAGTATGCCTCTTAAATAACTTTGACATAAATTATCTGCTACTGTGCATGTAGGACTACATGCACAGGTCCTGGGTCTTCAACGTAAATGGCAAAACTCCAAGTTAATTTTGAGTTTTATGTTCAGGTCGAGCATTTATAAGGTGCGTTCATCTGTTCTTGACAGCACTACTTGACTATTTGTCTTAATATATGAATTTAACTGTAAAGCAGCAGTCTCTTTGAAATTTGAATGTCCAGGGATCACAAAGTCAGAATTAGTCTCAGAATTAAAATTTGTTGTTGAGTATTTATTTTACTACCATGAGTGCAGCCATCGAACTGATGCTACACAACTTGTGTTTGTTGTCATGCCTGCAATAGATGCACAGGAAACAGCTAGAAAACAGACTAAGCACAACATTGATAATAAGGACAATTTTAACAACTATGCATCCTAATGGACTTAAAATATATGCTAAACTAAAGTCACCGACATCACTATTAATTACTTGCTGTATAATATGTTAATGTCCACTAAATGCATGTAAATTACAACATGGGTAAAGCCTAATTTCTCAAAAGAGAGAGAGTAATTATCTAAAAAAGTTTATTCAAGTAAAGATTGAAAGCATGCATTGTAATATTTTGCAACTGGAATGTAATCAAAGTCAACAGTGGATATTGGTTGAGTGATTTAAGTGTGCAATTTAATATTCAGCAGTCAATGTCATGTCGTTCTGTCCTCATTCTATTCAAAATATTCAACATATTATATGAAACTAATGCTATTGGGTTACAGCATGCTACTCTCAGATGATTCCACTGGTGCCCAGAAACTCAATGTCACAATGATGTCTGTTTATTTATTTATTTTTTTCCAGGAATACACTTCTTGAGCCCACATGTGATTCCTGGAAGCATGCATAAATAAATAAGTGTTATTTTGATCATCCCCTGTCAAGATGGTGAATATCATGAGGAAGGGAAATGGGGTTTGTCCAGCAGCACTTAGATGCATGACTCCGGGCACCCCTTGTTCTCGTGGGGTTTGCGGCCACTCTCCATAATTTCATTAGAGTCAAAGCAAATGCTGTTTGCAGGTTTTTGAAGGAGACTGTGTGTCGGATGAGGGTCTTTACTGATAAACTGTTTAGGAAATCTGAGATATTGTTTGCTAAATTAAAAATTTTCCCTTACTGTTTGTTTATGTAATCAATTTAACTAGATGATTTAACTAACAGATCAGCTGCTCAGGCACATAAAAACTTGTTTTATAACGATTGTATAATTCCTCCGTGTTCCCAGAGGTGCGCTTATTCATTATGAAGCAGTATTACCTAAATAACAAGATACTGAACCAAAGAATATAGTTAAAGATCCAAACAATGAAGAGCTTTTAGTTCACTTGAATGCCCTTTTTCTATCTTTTCAGAGCTTTGCTTTAGGTTTCCGCCTACAGAGAGTCGGTGTATTTGAATATTTTTTTCATTTTATGCAGACTGTGATGATGGTTACTGTAGCAGATAGTAGTTGGGCAGCCCACACATTCCTGACACCACAGCCTATGTGTCACAATAAGAGGGTACGGTCTCAACTATGCCAAGACTCATCCACTCTGAAATGTCTGCAAGAGCTCAGGGGCACAGTACACTTGTATCTAAAAGAGAAACAATATCATCGGTACCAAACGTGCAGCAG